TGTGTGTGTGTGTGTGTGTGTGTGTGTCCACAGCTGTGAGCAGCTCTGAGGAGCAGCAGCTCAAAGGTGACTCTGAAGAAACACCAACGTCCTGAAGAGTGAGTTCCTTCATCTGTTCAACTGTGTCCACAGTCAGGTCATGTGACTGGAGATCAGGCTCAGAGAAGAGCAGACAGTCAGGGGTTAAAGGTTATATTTGATGATATATTTGAATGTGTCCTTCAGTTGAACAAAGTCCTGTCCATGAATGAAACCAGTGTCTGGATCAAACACTGAAGCTCATTTCATCTTTAGTTGATGGATTTCTTTCTTCCTCTGGATCACAGAGCTCAGTCTCCATGTCTTCTCTAATTCCACCTTCATGTTCCTGCTGTGGAGCGCCACCTGCTGGACATCAATCATAAATCAGATCAGTCCAAATGATAGAGTGACAGATTGTTCCTTCACTTCACACTCACCGTCCTGAGTCTGTCCAAACAGGAAGTGAGGTCCAGTACCTGTCAGGACTGTGGTTGTACCACATCAGCCCTGGTTTCTGTTCTCTACTGTTCTGTGTCAGGACTTTAATCAATGTCAATATGGTAATTAGCTTCACAGTCATATATTTTAGGCTTTTATGTTTGTGGCCTTTGATTATTTTTTTCCGTGCTGCATTCAGGGAAAGTGGGAACTTTCACATTCAGCTTTATAAACAGTGACAACATTTACAGTGATGTTTAAATCTGCTCCTTTAGTTGGTGAACATGAATAAAGGTTCATGAGGTGGAAATTAATCTTTCATGTGACCTTTGACCCCCTGACATTAAAGTCTGATTCAACAAACGTCTACGACTGCTCGTCTTTTTTATATGTAAACCTAAATACTTGTTGAACTGTCAGTACTACTATGTACCTCTGTGTACATGAATACTTCATCATTTAATGTAATATGAAAATATGTTCAATTAATAGAATTTTATTTGAAATATATATTTTATAACAGTGTTAATAAAAACAGTTTTCTACCAGAATGTTCTAAAACCAAGTTAATATTTTCTACACAGTTTATCAATGAAATAAATCAAACTTGTAAAAACCACATATTTGTTTAAACTCAGTGTAATGTCTAGAATAATAATAAATACAAATATATTTCATAGAAACAGAGTTTGATCAAATATAATCAATAAAATGTTCATAAATCCAAGTTTATCTTCTTTAATAGAATGTCCTTCAAACCTGGTTCAGATTTTAGTTTTTGTTTGGTAAATGTTGGTGTTTTTATAAATGTGAACATAAACAACACTGATGACGTCATGTTGGTGTTTTAATCGGTACCAGGACGAAGTAACAGTTCAGTCACCAGATCAACATCAGATGAACACACACACACACACACACACGCCATCTTTATTATTCAACTTTGATCCTGTCAATAAAACAACAACAACAGCAGGTGTGTCTCAATCCAGGGGTCAGGGTCCAGGTCCAGGTCAGAACATTCCCTTCCTGTAACGGTGGATCAGCTCGGACACGTCTTCTTTACACACCTTAATCCAGCCGTCCTCCTGCATGTGGTACACTGGACACACACACACACACACACACACACACAGAGGGACCATGTTAGACATCTGTCCATCATGAGACTAAGACAGAAACATACTAACACTACTGTAGTACTACTACAACACTACTGAAGTACTACTACAACTTTACTGCAGTACTACTACAACTTTACTGTAGTACTACTACAACACTACTGTAGTAGTACTACAACTTTACTGTAGTACTACTACAACTTTACTGCAGTACTACTACAACACCTCTGTAGTACTACTACAACACTACTGAAGTACTACTACAACTTTACTGCAGTACTACTACAACACCTCTGTAGTACTACTACAACTTTACTGCAGTACTACTACAACACCTCTGTAGTACTACTACAACACTACTGAAGTACTACTACAACTTTACTGCAGTACTACTACAACTTTACTGCAGTACTACTACAACACCTCTGTAGTACTACTACAACTTTACTGCAGTACTACTACAACTTTACTGCAGTACTACTACAACACCTCTGTAGTACTACTACAACTTTACTGCAGTACTACTACAACTTTACTGCAGTACTACTACAACACCTCTGTAGTACTACTACAACACTACTGAAGTACTACTACAACTTTACTGCAGTACTACTACAACACCTCTGTAGTACTACTACATCACTGTAGTACTACTACAACACTACTGTAGTAGTACTACAACTTTACTGTAGTACTACTACAACACCTCTGTAGTACTACTACAACACCTCTGTAGTACTACTACAACACTACTGTAGTACTACTACAACACCTCTGTAGTACTACTACAACTTTACTGCAGTACTACTACAACACCTCTGTAGTACTACTACATCACTGTAGTACTACTACAACACCTCTGTAGTACTACTACAACACTACTGAAGTACTACTACAACTTTACTGCAGTACTACTACAACACCTCTGTAGTACTACTACAACACTACTGTAGTACTACTACAACTTTACTGCAGTACTACTACAACACCACTGTAGTACTACTACAACACCACTGTAGTACTACTACAACACCACTGTAGTACTACTACAACACCTCTGTAGTACTACTACAACACTACTGAAGTACTACTACAACTTTACTGCAGTACTACTACAACTTTACTGCAGTACTACTACAACACCACTGTAGTACTACTACAACACCTCTGTAGTACTACTACATCACTACTGTAGTACTACTACAACACCTCTGTAGTACTACTACAACACTACTGAAGTACTACTACAACTTTACTGCAGTACTACTACAACTTTACTGCAGTACTACTACAACACCACTGTAGTACTACTACAACACTACTGTAGTACTATGAGTCTATAAAGACTACGTTGGTTAAACATAAAGACATGTTGAACCAGCGGTGATGTCACTGAGGCAGCGGTGATGTCACAGCCTCCTCTGTCCTGTCCTCAGGTCAAAGGTCATTAACTAGAGTTGACTAGAACCTGGTCCTATGTGGGTAACATCTACCACGAGGTCATCAGTGACCCGGTCCATATGGACCTCTTCACCACGTGTCCCACGCGGGTCATTACAGTTGGCCATGATTCAAACTCACTGTTCACCATGCCACCAGAGTAGGCGTCTCTGTGGGTGGCGTGGGTGATGCCGCGGCGGCCCAGCTCGTAGGCCTCCTCCACCGTCATGTCTTCCCTGTAGCTGCTGTCCATCACACCGTAGGCGTAGCTGTTCCCACAGCCTGTGGAGAACATACGACCGGACAGACGGGTGCCGTTGTCGTCCACGTAATACAATCCTGGGCCCTGGGGGGGGGGGGCATCCGAGAGGTTAACCTGGAGTCATGTAGACTGACTGACCGACCATCTGTCTAACTGACCGACCCACTGACCAACCGTCTGTCTAACTGACCGACCGTCTGTCTAACTGACCGACC